TACCCATAGTACAAGCGTTGCTTAGTTTGGGACTAGAGAACGTGTAAAAATGTGTTCTAAAAATATTTAAGTATTTATTGTTTATTTTATTTAAAGAGTCTACTGCGTATCAGAATCTATTTAATTCGTGTTCCAGACGTGGTTGATTGATAATGGCGCCGTACACAAACACACTCTTTTTCTTTCTTTGAGACAACATTAACTTAATAATTAGAATCAGTTAAGGTTTTTCACAGTCGACATTTTAGTAATATTTTTATTTTAATTTAGATATTTCCACCATCAAACAAAAAATATCATGTGTTGCCCACTTCAAAATCACCAAGCCACAAATAAAAAAATGTCTACCCCAAGAAGCTTAGCATTTAAAACTTGTATGTCATTAACGATGTTGACTTGCCCATTAAGACTACGATAATTTAATTATGTCTAACGTTCAGTCTGTCGAACTGGTAAGTGGTAACTCTTCTTAACCTTCTCATAAGGATCGTGACCGATTATGTCTATTTTAGTTAGCATTTTTGACCATCTATTGTGACTGATTGCTCAATTTTGAATACGTTACTATTATTACGGATAACATAACATTCTAAAGGACGTTTTGTATGTATTTTATAATTGAACACACAATCCAAAGGTCAGAAGATGTCTTTATAATCTAAATCGATGATCGTTAACAATCAATTTGAAATTCTAAACTGATTAAACAGGCTAATTGCATTATGACGAGCCCTTGCTATAAATGTGAAAGTACCGTTATCAGCGGTGCGGCATTTTACAATATTTACTATAGCATGTGGACCAACTGTACACACTTTCATTTTATTTATTAAAGATACCTGCTGGCATATGATATGATATCAGGTGATCTGCGCTTAAACTAGTAGACTCTAGTTCCATCAATGTTTATATTGCTACAACACTGCGAGAGAGCTAAGGGACACCCCATGAGCTCTAGACGGCTCTACCAGACGTGGAGGACCGTTTTAACCTCGTGAGATCTGGCTGTACCACGAGTTATGCGTTTATGAAGCTTTTATAGTCTGCGGACTGCAAGCAAAAACATAAGTTCATCAGAAGTCAAAAGTTTAGGGTGGTGGAAGCTATACTTGTCGCTATATTGCTTTAGCTATATCTGCCACAGGCAGATCTTCATTAGCTTGAACTTGTCCTCTTGTTAAAACCAAAAAGACATTTAGAAAAACGTGTTTTTTATAATTCTTTTTTTAATGGAAAAAGGGAGTAAACGGACAGGAGGCTCACGCGATGGAAAGTGATCACCGCCGCCCAAAAACATCTGCAACACGGGAGTGCTTTTAAATGAGTTGCCGGACTTCCAGGTCTCTTCTTGAAGTTTTCCGGTTCGAAAAGCCCGCCGGTGACAGCTAATGCCTTAAAAATCGTGTCGTTGTAGAACGCTGGACATTTATTTATTTATTTAAAAAGGTCAACAATTGTCGACACCGACATCGAGGGGGTATGGATGGATTTTCTGGTTTTGCCTCGATACCCGACAATGAAAGAAATTGAACGCGCGAATTTGCTGTTCTTATCATTAAGCAGCGTGACTGCTAGCTTGTTGTCAATAAACATCGTTAAATATAGGAGCGTGACATTGTATTATCGCGTTTGCTCTGGAAGTAGTGGTCCTTGAGCAGATGTTGACACTATGCACACTCGTTTGTTTGTTAGCTATAGGTTTTGCTGTATCGATGGAAACGAAGATCATTAAATATGCAAGTGTTTATTTGTCTAATCATATTCTTATGTAAAACTCGTTTTATGCACCTCTCACAAACTATTTGTGTAATTATAAACGTAATAATCAATACCAGCTTCTCCTACATGACTGTATCTAATGCAGATCTATTCTAATGTTGCATTTGGATCCTAACCACGAGGAAATTCAGTAATTATTTGTTTTCTTTATGTTTCAACACATTCCGACAAACCTCAAAGTACCATCGGTCTTATTCATAGTTGACAATCGTGCATCGTGTATTTTCCGGGAAACTTTTTAGTACATTGCCAATTGCAACTTGTGTAATAAGGACGAGCACCTTTCTATACGAAAACATACTATCTTAGTTAAGTTTTGCTTTGCATTTATAACAATTGTCCATGTGCTTTCTTTATTTCTATACTGAGCTAAATCGCGTCTATATTTATTTTAAACAGTCCATAAAAATAAATATTTTTAAGAAGTGAAACCGAAAATTCCTCGGATGCACAGACAGAAAAGATATTGCCCAAGTACCAATACCAATTGGTTATATACAGAATGCTACACTTTATTCGTTCCTATTTTTATTACAATCTTTAATATCATACGTTTCCAGTCTCTCCAAAATGAAGGGTTGGAAAAAACTCGTGTTACTCCTGGAAAACACTCCTAGCAATGTAATTTCGAATGAAGTGCGGGGATAAAATTAAAAATGTACATTTGGAATTGCTGTCTGCCTTCCGATTATGATGAACTATTTTATCCAAATCTACAAGTACATTTTCAACGGGTCTTTTATCTCGACTGTGTTCTTACGTATATTGGCTCTCTGTTATCGTCAAATTCACTTAACTCTAAAAATAAGATTATTTGCAAACGAGATAATGGAACTTCAGAAAAAGTTAAACACAACTTAGTTTAGATAATTAAGACATACGCAAATAGAAAATTCTCCACTGTCATACTACGCAACTATGGGAATGAAATGAATAAAAAAACTATACAATTAGAATGAATTAGAATTCATTGTATATAATATATAATTACACACTACTATTTACGACAAGGGATAGACGTTAAATGCTTTTGACAAACAGCCACGTTTATTAACACTCGTTATGCTGCAAATTGCTTACAAGGCTGAACGCTGGCTTGTTAAGCGATGACAACAGAGTACAATTGCACTCATTCGACGATCATAAATTGGGCTTTATTATTAGTGACGTTCGTTGAACTTGATTTCCACTTCGATATACATTTAGAAGGGGCGGTCTGTTAAATTGATGTTATCTGTTATACACAATAATATCTTGCGTAAAGATTTAGAAAATTGTGTGTAGTGTTCTTCAATGCCACTTATTATACCAATAACTGTTTAAATTTTACTCTTAGACAATACTCTTGTTATTTATAAACCGTGTTAAACAATTCTAATTAGCTATTTTTCTACGTTAGGAAGAATAGATTTTGTTATATAGACAGCATTATTTAGGAAGAGATCGAACGCGCACACCCAAAACGTGAATACAATATCCAAGGCACTGTGGTGAGGCCAGGTAACGGTTTTCGTTGCACGAATGGGCAGGTCCGTCCGGGTAGGTAAGTACGACGACCACACAGAAGAGCGACGTTAAGTGTTCACGCGCACTTTATACAGCGTGTCGTTACCATCGCGACAATAAATGAACAGACGTCTAACGCTCCTTGCCAATAATCATAAAAAATATTAACGTTAAACAAAATCCATAATTAAAAAAAATATTTTTCAAACAAACTAATTAAGTAAAAAAGAAATAAAATTTGTAACATCCTATACAACTCGCGCCACAGCGTCGCATTAGAAGCCTCTCCTTCTAACAGTATGTTTTGTCTCTTTTAAATTCATTCAACCCATTCATATGCTTTGTGACCTTTACAAATGAACTTTACGTTACAGTTTTATTCGTAAGGGTGTTCTAAAATTGTTTGTTTTGGAAAATTTAATAACTCTGTAAATATTGATGTTTAAAGAATGAAAATGTTTAATACAATTTTAAAAAGTTATCCTCTATATGCGTGTTCATTTATTGTCGCGGTGGTAACGACACGCTGTATAAAGGTGGCAACGCATTTGCAACCTTACGGATGTTGCAAATGTCGATGGGCGGCGGTTATCGATTAACATCCGATAAACCTCCAGCTCGCTTGCCACCTCACATTAAAAAGGTACGAGTGTCTCTGTGCGCAGCGCTAGACAGTCTCTGCAGTTAAGGCACATCGAGCAGACACCCAAATCTAGAATATACACACATACTTACACCCACATACTTTTACCCGCTTTTTCTACATATTACCCTGCCCACGAAAATGCTAACGTTACTCGCGTAAATAAGCATTTCCGCTAATCCTTAGACTGATTAAACTCTACACTAAACGAACTAAAAGCAATGATTACTTGTTTTTACGCGAATATTATACAAATCAAAATGAAACTATATTAAAATTATAAAAACAATGACATGATAATAAACAAATATGCACTCGATTTATTATACTCAGTTTTTGGAAGTTTGCGTGTAAGTAACAAATACGCTCTTCTAATATCGTCCTCTACTGATTTCACCGTCAGCCTACAAATTATTCTGAGACCTTAAAATACACAGTTCTTTTATCTCATCATTACGAAATGATCATGATTTTAACTACTGTGGTAAAGCAACAAAAACTCACATAACTACTACTGCTACTACTACTTTTCCAGACATTTGTGCAGCGCTTCGCTATCGTCACATGTAAGCAGTTTGGCAGTGATCCCTGAATCAATCTCCTCGTTTCTCGATACAAACGTTGAGTAATTGAAGCTTGTATAGCGAATAATTCTTAACAGGCGCAACGATGAGTTCCTCTAACAACCTTATTCCTCGCGAACAATTCTGCTCTAGTCTAAAACATTTTTATCTCGAACTATTCCAACGTCAGATCACAACCTAAACGCCTTTAACCAACTCCGTCCTATATGTCCACAACACAGGTACCCGCTTCTTCTTTGACACAAAACCATTGGTCAAAGCCTGGCATAACGTCATACCAGCTCACCGCACCCTAATTGCCAGACTGGCTCGCTTATACCATTTGGACCTTCATGTTGAATCGTTGTTTTCGCTATCGTACAGACGGCGCCCTCTCTTCGAACATTCCACTCAGAGCGGGTGTTCCTCAAGGTTAATGCCTCTTGCCTTGGTCCAGGAAGAAGACGAAGTCATTTAAGGCCAATTCCTACACACATACGTTGCGTTGTATGCACTGTAGTTACACACTGAGCACGGTGAAACCGACACATCGAGCTACACAAGGTACACACGGGACCCTCACTGCACCTCTCGTCTATGTTACGGTTCGTATGCCGGATCTGTGAACACATGTAGATGTCGTGATCGTGACTCTGAGTAGGTAGGGTCTATCAAGCTTGTGGAAACCTAGCCTTTTAAAGAGCTCTGCATCTGATGAAGCTTTATATAGTCTACAGACTGAAAGCGCAAACATCTAAAGTGGCAAAGACAGAAGAAAAAGCAAAGAGTATTTAATCTTCCAGCGCGAAAAGAGCCGGTCCTCTTATCACTAGCAGCAACTAAAAAATAAGTCGATGACATAATTCTTTAAAAAAATTTAATGTGTCCTATCAATTTATTGTGTCAATCATAACTGTTACGGACCTAACGTGTCTATAGCAATTGGCAGGAATAAATAATCTACACAAATAGACTCCTTTGCCCCAATTACTAACATCAGCTGATGCCACGCCATCCCTGACTCAAATATCCCTTAGATGAGAGGCCGTAAAATGTCTACGCAAGTTGTATCCCATAAAAGGTCTTTGTCTCTCTCCCCTAGAGTTCAAAGCCAAACTTCCCATTTTACATACTCCAAGTACTTATCTTGACAATTCTTGCGAATTAACCGTGTGTTGACTTAAATTCTAGACCGCTATATACTTACCAGTATTTTTTTTCATAACGATTGAAAACTTACACGTTCCGTACGTACTTTTTTCCGTTTCTTCTGAACCTTAAATAAATAGTAGTGTTGTCAGACGGAAGTGCTTAAAGTGGTGAGATTACTAATAGAATCGAATGTCGTCACTCGTCTCGTTAGTAACGTTCAAGTAACAAAATTAAAAACGCTAAAATGAATAGCCCTTATCTGCTACAAACAAAACATTGATATAAAAAAATCATGACAATTCATAAAACATTAGTTCTAAAAGTTGTCAGTAACATTTATAAAACGCATAAACATGCAAGGTAAAATATGTGAACATATTCAATTTAATTTCTGCCATCAAATGAGCTTCGAATTCAAATCAACCTATCGACGCCCCAGTTATTGCGTAGAAATACATCATCACCATCAATATTTTAGCCTGTTTGAGTCCAGCGCTGAACACAGGGCTTTCCCACACTACCACGAAGTACGATCCCGAGCCACTTGAATCCATCGACTTCCCGCACGTTTGCACAGTGTTTACTACTTTAGTTCCGTCGGGTTTCTGATGATCAGATTCAAAGTGTTTAACCGTCCTTTTGGCAACTCAAATGACATTTGAAAGGCTATTTGACAGCTGATTAGTTAATTTCTACGATGATCAGTGTTTCATAAACCGGGCGTTAATGTATTAGGCGTAGAATGGTAGAATGAAGTTTCACTTGACCTTATCGCATTTGGTAAGCTCAATTGATTGTAAATGCAAAACAGAAAGATAATTAATTAGCTTCCATATTTATAACACTACAATGTACAGTGATAGAAACGACAGCAAGAGAATAACGAAACGAAAATACCCTCACTATAAGCCGCACTGTAAGAACCTCGTTTTGTGTATGAAAATATTGATGTTGGGATGACGCTCCGAGAGATAATTGTTACAGAACGCGATAACATTGATAACATGTGACCCCAACATCGTCAGTCTTTAGCCGTATTTCAAGGTGGCAACACGTGCTCTGCCAATTTCCTCGTCACCCAGACTACGTGAGTGGCATAACTGCTTTATATTTAGACGTTCGTTGCCGCGAGTTTTAATTTAAATAACCAAATTTGTGCTGCGAAATGAACTACTGGCAGTTATATTTTCAATTTCGTACTAAATTTAGACTTTTTTAAACTTAGGATTATTTAATTACACTTTTTCCGATCCCATATTAACGCCAAATATGCATGGTCGTAGTGTGTTAACTATGTAAGACATTAAAATTTGTAGAGAGGCCGCGAATGTCGAAGACGAGGGTTCGATTCCCACAGCGGCGAGAATGTTTTCGTACTTTTTCTACAAATTTTTATGTTTAATCTTAAGTGTAGAGTTAGCACGATAATAAATTTAAATATGTAAGACATGCATGTAGATATTTCATTCCTGATTGTGGACTTTATAGAATTGGCATGATGTATATGTATTTATTTATTTTAATGTGATGAAGCTTTATGCGTAAAATAAAAAGGAATTACACTAATATGTACTCGTGTACATGTGCGAAAGAATACCATAAGCGTGTAGGCGCAATCAGGGAGGCTTATCTGGGGAAGAACCACAAAAGACCCGTGTGAAGTGGAACTATTTTTTTTAATTAGTGTCCTTAACCTACAATAACAATATCCTGTGTTGTAAGGACGTTTTTCAAACATAAATTTCACGTGGACAAACACCCAGATCCCAAACAATTAACTGCGGGTTACAGATATAGTTGTATCTTGTGAATCGAACCTAAGACCCCCGGCGCCGAAGCCAACCCACCAACTGGGAAACGGATTCATCAAAATTATACTTTCACGTTTCGTATGGTGAACGAGATAGCCGGGGCCCACTCTTTTAAAGGTTCACAAGCAATCACAGGTACTGTGAATATCAGATGAGCCAAACCGCTAGGCAGCTTTTTGCATAAAAAAAGTAAAATATATGTATGTATCTTTTACTTCCCCTTTCAACTAAAGAGTTTTTTATTACATATAAATGTTTGTAATACAAAACAATTTGGTTAAAATTTAAAATTTATGTAATTTCAAACAAAGACGTGGGTAACAGTTAATGCCATTAACTCCATTTATCACCCTGACTATAATAGCTTAACGTATACAATGGAATTTGTTTAAAGAAGATTAAGGATCAGTTGCCATTAATCCTTATTAATATCTAGTTCCCTGTAGGCTGATAAGAACGTCATAACGTAGGTATATGATTAAGTAAATGTGTGAACGCAACTTTAAACTCATTTAATAAATTAATGTCTTAAAAGTCAACTGTGGTAGAACCACTCAACAGTTTTCGCTGTAGCACGAATGGGCGGATCCGTCCGGGCGGTTTCTAAAGAAATAAAATCTCACTTTATTAAAAATCTTCCTGAATAAATTGAACTACAGAACAATTAATGTGTCATGTAAGTCTTCAATGCCCAATTGGATTCGGTGAGTGACGATACGAATGTAATAAGAATCGATTGATTTGAAGAGTCAATGACAGTATCCTTTTTTAATTTTACTATCATACATCGGAGTTGTAGTTAATCGAAAACTCAGACTTGCAAGATGTTTTCAGGGAATTGAAGAGAATTTAATTCTTTTTTTTATGTGAGAAACTGGCAAACGAGCTGGCGGTTCACTTGATGTTAATTAATAATCGCCGCCATCGCCTGGACATTTACAACACCCGTAGGTTTGCAAATGCGTTGCCAGCTTTACATTAAGTGGGCCCCGACTACCTCACTCACCAGACGAAACGCAGAGGCGTAACACTTCTACTTTACGCCGGTCTTCTATAAGGTCGTGGTACTTACCCGGACGGACCTACCCATTCATGCAACAGTGAACAATCTAGCGTGGCCGTACCACAGTTATTCTTTTAAAAACTAGACATTACCAAAAAAATCATCCATAAACCATGTGTTATTTAAGAAGTTTTTCTCCACAGTGACACTCAACGAAGCAATGAAGATCGGGTTCATCGGAGGCGGAAGACTGGCCTTTGCGTTGGCAAATGGATTTATATCAGCAGGTGAATCTTTTGGATCAATTGTGGCTAATACAACCCGAGGTGGAAGGAAAACGAGCTTTAGTATTCAACTGCGCGATTATAAAATAGTGGGCTGGCTTGATGAGGAAGGTACAGCGCCGAGCAAAAATATTATAAATTGGGTTTCCGAAAATGAGTAAGGTAACCGGAGGTCTATTCTTTCTAAGGAATACCACCAGCAATCCCTATACGTTACCTTAAAGGTATCCTTTGAGATTTGTTCTTTTTGATCTACAAACCGGTATCGATCTGTATTCCACTTGACAATACAATAAAATGTACCTAATAACAATAATAAATCATTTAATCATATAAATCATATTAAGTTGATTTTTATAGCCGCTCTATAACTAAATAAGTATAAGTTAAAAAAAATTTCGGCTTGCAGCGATGTTCTATAACTATATGCAAACATTAGCTGCTGCCCACGACTACGTCTGCGTAGATAGGCTGAAGGCGTAACATTCAGACAGAAAGACAGATATACATAAAATATGTATATAAATTATAGCCTATGTCTTATTCTGATTTATAAGCTATATTATTGTAAAGTTTCATTAAAATCCATTTAGTAGTATTTGCGTGAAAGAGTAACAAACATCCATCCATACATAGAAACTTTCGCCTTTATAATATTAGTAAGGATGATTAAAGTAATTCATTAATAAATTAAATTCGATTAATCTCTTAACCGATTATGTAATTTGAAAAATCACATTTGACAAATATGATATTGAGATAGTTAAAATTCTATTGACTGTTGGTATTTTTCACAATTTCCCCTGCAAATGGTTTTATTTTTGCAAAGGTCTGGCGAAACCTGAAGAAATCACAGCCAGTTGCCATCCATCGGATACGGCTAGCGCGCAAGCTTTTAAGGTAAATGCGAACAACGCTATAATAAACTTTATGACTTGTTGGTGCGGTTGCAAAGCTATGAGCTTTCCGTTGATTCGAAGGATCGAATCCCACATGGGGAAAGTATTTGTGTGACTTATAGATAACTGTTTTGGATCCGGGTGCTAGTTCCCGGTGATGGTTGACGATCTGTCTGCACATTAACATAACGACGTGTCGACCCAACCTAGGCGGGATACGGGCAGGAGAAAGCGGAATAACCATAATAGATAAACTTAATGAAACTATCTTTACGGATTTAGTAATGTGTAATCGCGTAAATGCGCAAGAAATTATCATAGATTAACTTGTTTGACTCTATTGTATGTTGTATGTGTGGGTAAATGAGAAAAACCTACCAAGTGTGAGTCGGAGTGGCGCACGAAGGGTTCCGTACCATTATGTACAAAATAGGGGAAAAAAATCATATCTGTTGTATCCCATACACTTAAATATTTTTTTTATTCTGATATTTACTATTTGTTGTTATAGCGGCAACAGAAATACATCATCTGTGACAATTTCAACTATCTAACTGTCAAGGTTCATGAGATACAGCCTGGTGACAGACAAACAGACAAACAGCGGAGTCTTAGTAATAGGGTCCCGTTTTACCCTCTGGGTATGGAACCCTAAAAATTATATGATAGAGAACTGTCTTTTGTTCCCCACAGTAATTAAATATATATTTTATTGTACATCTTAATTCCATCGTATCCGTTAAATTAATCAGTGTATTTATTACTGAGAACGTTGACACCTTTTGTCAACGAATTGGGTAATACGCAAGATAAATTATATGCTGTAGAAGAACAAATCATACCTCGTCTTTTGTTTATTAACATGAAATAACCCAGATATTTTCTTATATCATGGGTTTTAGTGAGTAGAATACCTGCTTAAAGAAAAACCTTTCTAGAAAAGACGTAAACTTTTTAAGTTTTCTTCAAAAGGTATCAGCTGGTCTCCGCCATCGATCCCAACTCAACAGTAAAATGTTATGCAATATACTCGTAACAAATATTTTTTTCATAATGATTTACTGTATTTACATGTACACTGCACATTGCTATATACAAGTATTTAATGCACTTTATCGCGTTCAATTTTGATTTAAATTCCTGACTTTTCGAACAATTCATAAAAAAGTGACATGCGGTGGGGCAAATGTCGATGGGAGGCGGACATTACTTAACATCAGGTGGACCACCAGCTCGCTTGCCACATTCTCACGTAAAAAAAAGCATCTGACATTGGATCATCGTTCTAATCAGGGCCAAATTCGGGAAATAAACTCTATAAATAAATCCCTTAATTTATATAAATAATAAACTAAATCTCTATAAATCTCCTATTTAGTTACGTATGTGTAATCATATTTTCCAACCATTTAATACACTTTCAGGGCTTAGGGGCCACAGCCCTCTTCGAGAACAAATCGGTGGTGGAGCGATCTGAAGTTGTCATCGTTTCGGTGAAACCTGACGTGGTTGTGCCGGCTTTACGGGAAATCAAGGATTTGACAGCTTCCAAGAACAAGCTCTTCATATCCGTCGCGATGGGCGTTTCCACGGCAACCATTGAAAAGGTCAGTTTCTCAAATTCTTACCTGCTTATGCCGAATTAGAACAGAAAGACTATTCCAGTACGTGAAGATTGTTGATGCAACATTCTAGCAGCTTCTAACAACTTCTAGTTTCGAAAATACTATCAGTGTAAAGTATATGATATTTTCCTATAAAAGTACTGAAAATTTAGCTTTGTACTTGAAAAATATATTATCCGATCTATCAACACGTGTCATCTTCAGCGCTGTAGCAAAAAAAAAATTACAAAACATCTGTATCGTAACGACTTTTTCAAGTTGCAGGAGGTTAGATATACTGTTTTGATTTTTATGAAAGAGTATTAATAATCTCTTTAAGTACTATCCATTGATACGTTGTCGTTTTTCAGATTTCACGGTCTTACGTTTGTGTTTCTTACCTGTGTAAGAAATGTTCACTCTGTTCACTTAATTTAATTTAGATAGCTTACTTTTTCCGTCAAATTCTTCTCTGAATAAAGACATGTGTGTGTTTAATTACTTTTAATTCAATAATTTAGTCCAGGGCACTCGCGTATAATTCAATATACAAATGTCGATAGCTCCAATGAAATTGTTAATTGAATAAAAAATAAAAAAATATAAAGAAAGTGTCCAGGTTTTTTTCCGTCCTTTAATATCATTAAAGTAGTTTAGTTTATAGTTTATTCATTAGTTACTCATATTTTTCTCATTAATTTAATTATTTAATGTTTTATTTGTTTATTACTCATTTAATATTGCTCAGTAGCTAAACCTTTGTACCTAATGTTATATTGAGTTTCATTGTATATGCTGTGTTTGCTTTGTATAGAATGCAATAATTTTTTTACGTATATTTCTTTTTTAATCATGCTAGATTATATTCAGTTAAGCAGACCTAATAAACTGAAAAAAAAGATATGTGAAGTCTACCGATACGCAGTGGGATGGAGCGTTATGGACTAAGCCTTAATACCCCTAAGCGGGACTAACATAGGCTACTACTTAACTTTACAATAATTTTCATTACAGACACTGCCGTCGGAAGCGCGTGTTATCCGAGTAATGCCTAACACGCCAGCTCTAGTCAAAGAAGGCGCCGCGGCATTAAGCAGGGGCTCGAGGGCTACGGCCGAAGACGCAAAGCTGACGGCGCAGCTGTTCCGCGCAGTTGGCACCTGCGACGAAGTGCCGGAGTACCAAATGGACGCGGTCACAGCGCTAAGCGGCAGCGGACCAGCATATGTGCGTTCAAAGTTGCAGCAAGTTGGTCGCAAACATTAGCTAAAAAAAAAATTAAAAAAGATTCGGAAATCAAAATTTTCAACCTCGTTATAATATTAGGCACTCCAATAGAATTTAAATTTTTTAGTGCTTATCTCTGCATTTAAGATGAAACGTGAAAATCCGGAAGACTTGGGTTCGATTTCCACAGCGGAGAGTAACTTTTCGACCTTTTTTTAACTTTATTACTCATTTTTTTAATACTATAAAAATTTATATTTTATATAGCAATGTCGACATCTCTCGTTTGTATGCAGTAAATTATATAATAGTAGATGCGCCAAGTATTGACTGAAATGCCAAAAAACAATGTAGATTTTCGTCGGTGCGACAATCAGCAATTTTGCTTAGTGGTTAAATAAAGCGTCTGGGCATAAATCCGGAAGACCTCACGTCTCGATTCCGAAAAACGTTTCGTCCTTTTTTCTACAAGACTGCAGTAAAATATAATTTTTTTCAACTGGCAGAGATGTTCTAGTGGAACCCATTCACAGAGGCTATTCGTTTCTTGAACTTACTATAATTATGCAAAATTATTTCTTCACATTATGAGCGATTTACAGTGACAACACTCACAACAAAGACCTCTTTTAAAATGCGATAACAATAGTTTAGCTTACACATGACACATAAGCCAGGAAAGGGAATCATCATCATCATCATCATTTCAGCCTGTTTGAGTCCACTGCTGAACATAGGCCTCCCCCGTAGACTGCCACGAAGTACGATCCTGAGCCACCTGCATCCATCGACCTCCCGCAAATTTGCGCAGGTCGTCACTCCATCTAGTGGGGGGTCGTCCCACACTGCGATGGCCAGTACGAGGCTGCCACTCGAAAAAGAATATTTCCTCAAAATTCCTTATTTAGAAAAAAACCGCATTTAAATAGTTTATGCTCATTCGGAACCTTTCCGTCAAGTAATGTAACATTAATCTAATTCAAATAAAAGCTTCACGCTGACTCAGATAGGTACGTATTGGTTACTTTTATTTTACCTTTTCATAATTGTTCATGACTTGAATTTTGAATTTTTATAATTTACCAGATTTTATTTTAAAAAATGGACGAAAAGTTTTTCGTCGCTACGCCTATTTGAACCTGCACTCACTATATGGGTTATGCGCCCGACGCTCTACACACTGAGGTAAACGGCATATCTTCACACATAAAAATATCGCAACGTATTTATATACTATTTTATTGTATTTTAAACAATGCTTAGCGCCATGAAGTGTGTTTACTTTACAGCAAGCGCAGTGGTCGTGTTCATCATGATAGTTCGGATTCACATTTCATTCGTCAGTATTTGACATATTTTGTTGCAGCACTAGCGGCCATACAAGGGTAAGCAATACATAAGTTTTTTCTGATGCAGGTCTACATGCTTATAGAATCTCTAGCTGATGGGGGGGTAAGGTGTGGGCTACCGCGTGATTTGGCACTCAGGTTGGCTGCGCAGACGACTCTAGGTGCTGCGGCCATGCTGAAAACGGGTGGCCATCCGGCCGCAATGAAGGATAACGTCACTAGCCCTGGTGGATCCACCGCGGAGGGAACATATCATCTAGAACAGAACGGTACTTGTCAATAGTTGCAATGAGCTCTTGAAAATCTGTAGGATATCAATAATTGTATTTTTATTATCGTGATTTTATTTTATTTCTGTGACCAATAACTCTTCTCTGATCACAAGATACGACTCTTATAATAAATTACCTTCCTAAGGATATTAGAGACTTCTTAGACTTTCCTTTTATTCGGAACTCTTTAAATTGGCTCATTTCGGTCGACAACTTATTAAAAAACGTTTGTTTAAGCAGTTGCAATTGACTAACGATGAATGAACAAAAGTATATACTTGAAAAAGGCAGTAGAAAATTTTTCAATTATATTCGTTTTATCCTTTAAAGAAAACAAGAAAAGATTAAAAAAAACTATAATTATGTATTGACAGAGATGAAAGAATCATATTAAAAAAAAACATTTTTTCAGGTTTCCGCTCTGCCGTTATAGGTGCAGTTATGGCAGCAACAAACAGATGTAAACTGGTTAATGAACAACTTAACAACTAGGGTAGGAAGATTTTATTATGATGTAAATAAAAAAATTAAACTTTTCAGAATAACTTTGTAAAAATTTTATTACTTTTTCTTCCACCTCCATTTTTTCCCCTATGACTTCTTAATTATTTAAGAAATATGTACAAGTATAGCACTTATAACTTAAAAGCAAAGGTCTATGAGAGACGGTGATCCTGATCACTTATCATCAGGTGCTTACTCGGCGGAGCAATGTGTTTGAAACGACATATTCCCATTAGAGAATACATCTGATTAGTGGTATTTTTAAATATTTATTAAAATGTGACTGTATATTTCTAGTCTGAAAGTGAAAATTTTAGAAAGGAACATATTTATTTATAGATATATTTTATAATATGGAGAACATTAACAAAAGCTGTATGATATGGCACAGGGCTTATCTTAGTTAATAATAAATATAAAGTAAAAATAATATGGGTGATGTTCAAACTTCGTTTCATGAATCATTAAAATAATCATTATTTGTGGTGTTAATTTAATTTCATTGAAATTTACGGAATAAAAATTGGAAAACCATAGACAATCAGGGCCTTATTAGCTTGCCAAGTTAACTTGAGAATAGAGGGCAACACTAACGGTTTGACACTTTCCACCTGACATTTAGAAAAGAAAAAACGAAACGAGTTTGTCTTTTCGTATCAACGGCTGTCGCGCAGCGCCTCCGACGAATAAATAATATACGTCACGTATTAAATGGAGAGTTTTTAAATTGCATTCAAGCTGAACAAGAATCCGCGACCTTGGGTCGCTAAAACCAATAAATATCTGAATTTGTTTATACGGCTGATGCTTATGTTTACATGTTTTCAAAGTGATTTGTCGATGTGTAGTGAAATATGGTTTAGCTAGGCTTAGCGGCGTTTGGTGTCCGGCTATTATTAACAGAAATAAAATTCTTTTCGCCAATTAAAGTATCACGAAGGCTTCGGAGATTCGATGTAAAGCGATTTGACCTTACATTTGAGTAAAGAACTCGACCCACGCTGTCTATTAAATAGACTCCTACGCCTTGCCAATGATGCGAACTGCGTTGTCGCCGCAAGACTAAAAAAAGGCACTACGATGAGAATAAAACTACATGGAGTTTGCTACGTTGCTCTTATTTACCACTGTTTATATCGTCTTTAAGTAAAAGTGCAGTTGCTTAACAATTAGGTGTTTATTAGTGGTGCTATACAGTTTGTTAGTCGTCTGATTATCTATTTAATTGTTATCAAGGCTACCTGTTCGTGTAAGTTCATTGAAGCGGCTCGCCGAACAGATGGTATGAAAATCATTTTTTTTTCTATCTAGTCATTTAAAAATACTTAATATATTTCTTGCAATTTGAACAATTCATATGTTTTGAAATTAAGAAATCATCAATATTGTGTTAGTTAAATGTCTTATTATATTTTACATATAATAAACAATAAAAAACAAGTTGTCTAATAGGAATAATAACCTGCTTTCTAACAAGTTTTCAGTTTAGGAATTACTGCCCACTCTTAACAATAAAACTATTGTTTAACTAAGTTCTTAAGAGTCATCTATATAAAACAGTTTTTCATAATTTATTTGGATATGTATTTTTTGTGGACATATTAACATTGTCCATTAAAATTGAATTTTATTACTTTCTGTAATTTTAAGTTTAAACTTAAAATTAAAATTCTTCATAATATAAATAGAGAGAAAAGTAGCACAAGATGCACTTAAGTAATTATTTTTTTTATAAATTTTGAATCATCAGACAATTATTCTAATTTCTTCTTTTAGCAAATCTTTAGAACTTTTGATTTGTCATATGGCCCAATTATTTTGTGCTTAGTTATATTCCAACAAAAATATCTTCTAAATATATAGTTATCGAAAGGTAACATGATATGGTAGAAAAAAAAAGAATAGACAACTTATTTTTTGGTATTATTTAAATCCAATTATCTATTTAACTTATTGGAACATTTAATTTATTTGCAAACGAACTAAAAGTGATATGTATGATAAGTAGATGGAAATAGAGTATATTTCTAAAATTATTCTTTAGTTTTACAAAAATTCATTCCATTGATATAACACATTATTTAAAATTTTGTCACAAAATTTAATTTTATTCTCAGGTATATATCACACAAAGTACACAAGCTTTTTATAACTTATATATATTAAAATGATGGATTCCAATTGGGAATCCTCTTGAGAGGAAAGAAATTCTTGTATATTTACAAGTCTAACAGAAATCAGTCAAAATAAAGAAGTCATCGGTCCTCCTGTGCTACAAAGTGAGAATGGATGAAAATGATGTCATCATTTCTTCAACAGAGATAATAAAAGGTAAGTGCATGTTACTTTCTAACCATCTTAGGGAGTCCTTCTGAAATTCAACACTACATTGTATATTTTGCTGTGGTAGGGCTACACTCCGCCTCACAGACCTTACAGACTGTTATGAAGTATAAATTTCTCTGTTTCTTTGGTAAGTAAGGTAACCAGGACCCACATTTTTAATGGTTGTCTACATCTCTGCAGCCTTGTCAGGTTTTGTAGTTGTCCATGAGTGACTGTAATCATTTAACATCAGGTGCATATGTTCACTTGCCAACTTTGCACAAAATATAAATGCATGGTCATGATCACCAATTTGCACACTCAGTTGTACTCAACAAATAATTATAATTAAATTGAAAATAACGAAATGAATTATTTCTTTTTGTCTGTATGAAATCAATAAAATGTTGTGTTTTACATTAATTTTCAATGTGTTGAGAATACTTGTTTAGATTGTCAGTTTTGATAAGTTGACTATAAGTTTTATAGTATTAAATTTATTATTAAATGAAAAACATTATTATTCAGAAACAACAAACATTATTTTAATGAGTTCAATATTTAAGACTGTTTATGGATAAAATTTTGTTCTATTATATTTTTATTTTTTATTCTATATATTTTATTATAATTTTATATTCATAACCAATAGATTGTGTCTAAAATAAAACTGGTAAGGCTCATCAGTCATGTACACCACATCAATGTTCCAGAGATTAGCATAATCCTGTTAATTCAATTACTTCAGGCCATAGTTGTGCAGTTGTGCTAAATTATAAACGTGATTCTTTTCTCATCATGTTGTGTACTGTATGCATAGAAATCAATCTGTGAAAAATGGATATTAAAACCTGTTTCTTATATTTGACTTAATTATAGGACAAAGGTAGTGAAACCTTGACCGCGGATAGAAGTTTAAAAAAAAAAACACAATTTAAAATTTAACATAGAACAGGAAACAAAGATAATGAATGTCCAGTTGTATCAATGTCGCTCAAGACTTGATTCCATGTCCCACCTAAGATTATATACCTCTCAAGACTTTCCAGCTCCGTAATTTACTCTTGATTATGGAAGCGTATAGCAAAAAAGTGATTTATTCGCCCTGCGAACGTCTTCTCCCCCCCTATTACTTGGATGTCAAAGGAATGATGAATAGACTTCTACCGAATGCCATCAGGTGGCACGATATTCCGGCAATGGCCAGTCAGTGCATGAAAAAATAACCAGTCATTAAAAATTGGGCACACATCAAGCCATGAGTGAGAACCCACATTATCTATTTATTGCTTCCTCCTCTTTTCGGAAACATTATGCGTTTCATTTTTAGGGTTCCGTACCCAAATGGTGAAACAGGACCCTATTACTAAGAATCGTCTGTCACCAGGCTGTAATATATGAAATAAGGTGGCTCCCATTCAAACACATGATTTTTTACCGTTTTTTTAGATAATGGTACGGAACCCTTCGTGCGCGATTTCGACTCGCACTTGGCCGTTTTTTGTGTGTTGCGTTAATAATGCTTTTTAATGAAGTTTAACTAACTACTGTAATTAAAAAGCGGGCCCGGTCAATTAGTATGTTTGACCTCTTCATGCACTTTAAGATTCGCCCATTACTTGTGACAGGTTAACCAATAAGACGGCCCGTCGACTTTTGCTTTTTTATATAAGTTCGTACATGAAATTATATACGGTCTGTAGATAAACATCTGTCTTTATTATCTATACATACTATACTGTCTATACATTTATATTGCACTTGTTCTTACTTAGCTATGAAGTTACACTAGTGAATCCCTCCGCCCTCAGCTATGAGTTCCGAATGTCTCCCACTCGCAAATATAAATTTCTTCGACAATTTATCTTTAAGAGGTTAGTATTAATTATTCAATTTCACCTCGAGTGCAGATTAGCACTAAAAATAAAAAAAAATATCCTAAATATTTAACGACGTTTCAATTACTAGATAAGACATTTATCTCGTATTTATTTTGCGAGATAACCGAATTGCTCCGTTGGCGTAGTCTGGTAAATATTTACGTTTGTCAAAGCTTTATCGGACTCACGCTTTCGCGGGCTAGCTTATCTTGAAAATGGACATAAAGCACGCGCATTTCTGCATGCGTAACCGAGCGTCAGCTACGTGTTCTCGAAGCGATTGTTATTGGTAACTTGGAGCAGTGAGAACTGTCCAGTTGAAAAATATTAAGATGTCGCCGTCAATTGGCGTCTAATATTTATTGTGGTGTTATTCTAAATACAATGACCATCGGGGACCAGATGTGATTACTCATAATCCTCCAAGACGTCAACTGTACAATATTTAATCACATCATCTTGTACTTAAAGTATTACAAGAGTAGAAAATAATATTTGAATTCAGAGTTTCTTGTAGGTCTACACTTAACCCCCGGTATGTTTCAACGTTCGTAAGTGCTTGAAACAATTCCAATTTGCATTATTAGCAATACTTGGGGCCACATAGTGTGTGTGTGAAATATTTATATATTATATAATTTACCGCATGAAACACCTTACAAATAACATTTTAATAATATTTGTAACGAGTGAGGTCGCCTTTGCTTTTGCATTTTTAGCAATTTTAATAAAAAAATAGTTCCTCTCGCTTAACTTAAAAAATCATGGCTGTAGGGGCAA